ACTTAAGAGTCCTAAAATGGAGTCACTCTTATTGACCGTGGGCAGGACCATTAACCTAAGCTGTTCAGTTGAGGGGTCACCAACCCCAGAGCTGACGTGGATCCTTCTAAATGGCTCCCCACTATTGAGTGGTGCACAATTCAGTAAATTCCTCCACAAGTCTGATGGGACTTTGGTCATCAGTAACCCTGCTCTCTCAGAGGCAGGCACATATCGTTGTTTGGGACGCAATGCAGCTGGGATGGTTGAAAGAACTGTTACATTAATGCCAGGGCACAAGCCAGAAATCAATAACAGGTATAACTCACCTGTTAGTATCATAAATGGGCAAAGTTTACATCTGCACTGCTTGTCAAATACTGACTCTGTCCGCCTCACCTGGACTCTGCCAAGCGGGATAGTCTTAAACCGACCTCAAAGAGCAGGTCGTTATGCTATTCTTGCCAATGGAACCCTCTCCATCCAGCAGGCCTCTGTCCATGACAGGGGCTCATATACCTGCAGGGCCTCAAATGAATATGGAAGCTCCCTGGTAACTGTTCCAGTCATCATCATTACATATCCACCCCGTATCACTAGTGGCCCAGCTCCTGCTACCTATGCTAAAAGAGGAGTGGCGGTACAACTTAACTGTGTGGCCACTGGCATCCCCAAATCAGAAATCGCATGGGAGACACCAGACCGAACACGGCTTGTTGTCAGCCCCCAACCACGGCTAATTGGGAACAAGTACCTCCATCCTCAGGGTTCCTTAATCATCCAGAATCCTACAACAAGAGATGCTGGACTGTACAGATGCACAGCCAGAAATGTGGTAGGGGTTGACTCAAAAGGTACATACCTTTATGTATACTAAGAAACACAGGACACCTACTCTTCATATGCCCAAGGAACTGCGAAATTGAGCTTTAAGACAGCTTGATAGCAATAGAATTTGTCAATGTGAAATATAGAATGGAATCAGCCCAATGCAAAAAAAACATTACATTATATTTTGTCAATGATGTGAGCTTTACTTTAAAGTTTGCAAGTAAAACTTTGCAAAATGTAAAAAGGTACTATTCTTCAAAAGCTTGGTATGGGATTCGTGTAATGTAACCAACCTACTGATATTACAAGGCATCTTTCTACTTTTAATGTTTGACAATGACAGTTCATGTCTAAATGTATAGATACAAAAGATACTGTATATATTTGTAGCCATGAAGAAAACTATAAATTATATATTCTGACTTTATGGAAGCCAATAATGCAGAATATTTCACAAATCAGGGATACCATTATTTTAATAATGCTTCAAATACAAATTTTAAATAATTATTCAAAACTTTCAAATGTAAACAAGATTCACACTACACATTTTTTGACGACTTTTGATTTTTTTTGAAAATTAATTTTCACAGTATTACAATCACCGATTCTTATTCAGCTTTCAAGAATTACTAGCAAATGAAATACAAAGTTGCCTACAAGCTTTTTCATATGATTATTTGTATCTACATTTCTCTATTTGAAAAATGTCATACTTGTCCACTTGTAACACTTATAAATTATTTGTCCTTTAAACTAATGTATTTCTATTTTGCATATTTTAAATAAAGATGACTTTTAATAAATAACCAAAGTTTCAGAAAATATGTGTGCACTCTCCCCTCTGCAAATGACTTAAACATTCTCGAACCAGTAAATGAGAGCAATTCATGAAAATAGGGATTTTGGAAACTATCATGTAATTGAGCTTTTCTCAGACATGATGAAAGCACAGACTAAACTGAACCTTCTTCTGCTTTATGGTTTTTAGATTTCAACAACATACATATTCTGAGCAGCTAGTCACTAAATGTTCACTAAATATCATACTACAGCAGAACTATTGAAGTATGAGTTTGAAAAAATGATGCATTAATCCCAACAACACAAACCATGCAAATTGAAAGAGCTCAGATAATCCATATTGAATTCAGTTATGACTACACTAACCCCCGGTTTCACAGACAAGGCTTAAATCTAGTCCCAGACTAAAATGCATGTTTGAGCTGTTTTTACTGAAAGCAACTTGCACTGACATATTTTAAAATTTGTCACTATCATTGTTTTGTCTCAAGATGCACACCAGTAATGTTTTTTTTTCTAAGGCACATTTATAAAAGCTACTTAAATGTCCTAAATTAATTAAGACCTAATCTTGGCTTAATCTTAGCCCACAGTGTTAGCCCCGATTTTATATCTAATAAAGAATTTAATTACTTAAGTTTGATTGCATTACTAATAAAATATAAGTAGATTCTACTAATTTGTGGACATAATTTGAATGTGTGAATAAATGTAAGTTATATGGGCTAAAATTATTAAGTTTCTCTCCTGACCACGCCTTCCACACAGTCGTTTGATGCTGCGAGTCAGGTAACGCCATTTTGTCGTGGTGTGTGTGAATTCAAGGAGCTGTTGATGAGACGTCGGAACATTTTCTTTAGCAAGTTCTATGGACATTTCTCCTAACATTTACCTTTTTATCGTTTCTTTGTTTTCCTCGACAGTCCGTTTGTGAGCAGCGAAAATCAGTGTTTGTTTGTTTTTTTAACTTGCTAGATTTCTCACTCGCGTGCAGTGGACATTGCCGCTCTTGAAACAAGGGGGTAATCCACCAGCCGGAAACTGAAACCTCCCTGGGGGCCGCCATTGGTTAGCAAGCCTTCACCTGCTGTTAGCATTCCATTGACTCCCATTCATTTTGGCGTCACTTTGACAGCGAATAACTTTACATCTGAGGCAATTAAAGACTCCATTTGTCCATTGTTTATTTCTAAAGAAACACGACAAAAGGCTCCATTGCCTTGTATCTTACGTTATGGCCCCGTAGAAGCAGTTTTTGTAAAAATAGGCTAACGATCGCGTCATAACCACGCGACTCTCTGATGCACAGTAGAGAAATTACCGTATAGACAGGAGGAGAAGCTCGCAGGCAATCGGGGGGAGGCATAACGTCCGATAAAGTCAAGGTAGAAGCCCATTGAGAGTCATAAAGTTGCTCCTGCTGCTAGCTCATGGACAGCTCCTACTCACGCTCTCAGTCTCTGCAAGATGCGGAAGGCAACTGTCAGACAGGTTGCTCACGTCACATCTACGTCATCAAGCTCAGTTTGAGCCTGCGCAGTTCGCTCAGCCATCAGGAAGTGACTGAGTGCTTCTTATTGACTTCACTTTTCTCCGTGGAAGTCTATGGGGTCACTGTGTCCATTTCTTTTACTGTCTATGGCTTGAACCCCTGATCGGCAATTTTTTCCTTCCTATTGTTTCTTTTTCACTGGAGGAGCTGTTGTTGAGACTGAGAGTGTAACTGTTTGAACCTCCGGCCGGCGCCAAGCAAGTTGATGGACCCCATTGACTTCCAAAGTATGGGGAAAAAATAGGCTACTATGAAAGTCAATGGGGTCAAATCAACTGTTTGGTTACTGACACTGTTCGGCGCCGGCCGGACATATCAGACATATCTTCTTCAAAATAGTATTCTAAATTCCTACAGGTTTGGAACAACTTGAGCCTAAGTAAATGATGACAGAATTTTAATTTTTGGGTGAATTATGGCAATATCACCTGTTGTGACCGTGAATGTAAATGTTAAAATATATTGTTTAATGTTGGAACTGGATAATCTTTTATAAATATATTAGCTTATGTAAAAATGGGATGATCTCAAATTGATCTATGTAGATTCTGTTTAATGGACCATTTTCACAGAAAGTCTAATTTTTTTTGCAAAGTCATGGAAATTAAACAGTGGACTTTTTCTTCCAGTTTTTTAGCAAATTTCTTAAATTTACATTGCATCCATGTTCCAAACCTGATAAAATTGACAGTATAAAAATAATTTAAATAATATTAATGTGGTAAAATAATGGTTAAAATTAAGATAAATTTAGAGTGAATCAGAATGCAATCAGATCTTTCTTTGTGCTCAGTTAAAAACAGAGAGATGTCATACCAAAAGGTTAGGCTACTCCTGAAAACCTCAATATACTGTGGCTGATGTGTCTTATTGAACAAGATCAAATAAAAGATGCCCTCTAACTGACTGAGCAACATAGCAACATGAGTGTTTATAGCCTGACCTCTAGTGGCGCAAAAAAACAAAACAAAAAAAACACTGGCAAAGTAGGCTATTGAACACAATTGAACATTTTCTTTTGGTTGAAGGATGTGTTACAGGATTATTTTTGGACATTGACATTTAATACTAGATCTTTCTCTTGATTCCTTTCTCACGATTTAATACTTGATTAATAAGTTATTAATAATGTCTTCCTTAACAGCTCTAGAGAATGGGATTTATTTACTGTAAATATTTTAATAAAACTGCAAACAAAAGATCACAGCATAATAAATCATACAGATAGTCCCTATATCACATAATGTAGTGTCATAGTACAGAAATTTAATTACTAGGTTCAGTTTAACAAGTTACATTAATATGCAAGACATTTTCACAATATTTTTGTATGATCCACAGTGATTGTGGCAAATATACTACAGAGGTAGAAAAGCAGATATCTGAGGAGGTGAAAATGTAACAGTTGAGATGATGATGGACATACAGTACAAGTGAAAATATATTGAGATACTGTGTTTTATACATTTTCAAAAACACACATCCAGCACACATGCGCACGTACACACACACACACACACACACAAACACGGTTTTGTTATCTTTGTGGGGATTCTCCATAGGTGTAATGATTTTTATACTGCACAAACTGTATATTCTATCCCCTTACACTAACCCTACCCCTAAACCTAGCCATCACAGAAAACTTTCTGCTATTTTACATTTTCTAAAAAACATAATTTAGTATGTTCATTAATCAATTTCCCTCATGGGGACCACTGGCTAGTCCTCACAATGTAGGTGATTTCACGTTTTACTATCCTTGTGGGGACATTTGGTCCTCACAATGTAATATAAACCTGTGAACCTGCGCGCACACACACACACACACACACACACACACACACACACACACAGAGAGAGAGAGAGAGAGAGAGAGAGAGTATTACTCAAGGAATAGGTCAAGTTTCCTCTTGATGTTGTCGAAGGCATCTTTGCCCATATAATCAACGTGACCTTCCTCCCACATGCGCCGGCGCTCCGAGTCTTCCTCCTCTGTCTCAGCAGCGATCTACAATGGGACCATATGATAGAATCCATCTTCAGTTACAATATTACTATCACAATCATAATGATAAGTATGTAGTTCTTCATGGGGGAAAAATACTGGTTTATTCTGCAAATTCAAATCTAATAACTGCTCTAATAAGCCACCATTAGATGGCAGTATATACACTGATTTTGCAAGAAAAAACACCCACCTCAAACTTCATTATGTGAAGCAGTGTTATTTTAGCATTATTGAGATACTATCAGTTTTTATTAGTATTTTGAATTAGTTTTTATTTTTATATTTTCCGTTTCCAATGTAAGTGTGTTATTTTTATTAGTTTTAAAAAAATGTCTATAGTTTTTATTCCAGTTGTATTTTTAGTTATTCTAGTGCATCAAGTTAAATAAAAATAAAAAAATCAAGAAATGTTGTAGCTGAACAAAATTATAATTATTATTATTATTTTTAAGTTGACGTTTATTTCAAATAAAGAAAAAAATAGGCTTTGGTTTTAGTTTACTGTAATGCAAATATGTAATGCACATATGTAGAGACATATTTAGGGAAATGGTGACATCTATAGATAAAATTTACAAAATTATTATTATAATTTGTTTTACTTTTTGAGCAGAACTCATACTCGAGTATCTTGGAAATAAGTAATTATTATAAAAGTATAAATGAAAAAAAATGTATAACATCAAAATCAAAGTATTTTTTCCCATAAGCCAGGCACATTCATACATACAGCTTTTCCAGTGCCTACGGCAGAATCATCAGCAGTCTCTGGGTCTTTGTGTTCAGTCTCTTGCTCAGATGGAGGGCTGACTATAGGGGTCTCTTCAGTCTCCCCACCAGGCAGGACATCAAAGAGAATATTCTGAGAAGACAGGATAGAGAAATAAGTAAGTAAATAAATGAATAGGCCTTCTCCTAAAACACTAGACAAAATACTTGCACATTCACAATGTATGCAATAAATGAAATAAATCTAATAAATGAAAACAAAATTGGGATTTGGAGGTGGGGGTTGGCACTTAGATGTGGTGGAGAAGATATGAAAAACCAAACTATAGTTTCTTAACTTTGCCTTGACTGAAGTTAACTTGATATTGTATTTTTTACAAACAAGTAAGGGCCAGTTGAAGGGAAACATAAATGTAGCATAAATGCTAAATGTAATGAATTTAATTTAATTTAATTTAATTTATTTATTTGAGCATTAGATTCTTGTGAAGTAATGGAATGTGTGTACTGGATCAAACAAAAAAACTGCTCTGGAGCATACAAGAAATCGAATGGATTGACACCAAACTGCCAAAAATTATATTCTTTTCTATTAAATCAAAAGTTCTGGTCCATTTTAATCCCTGAGTCTTTGCATTACATTTAAAATATCTTTACAGTCATTGTGTTTTTGCAACTATCTGAACTGATTTTTGTTCTCTTTGTGTTGGGTTGAGTCACTGTTGGGTGTCACTGGATTTGTCTAAAAGCCCAGAGGGCACAATACTTTTAAAGGAAGTAGAGTTGATTCAGAGAGAGACTCAGAGTGAGAGATGAATCAAGACTGCATAATGTTGTTGTTGTTGTTGTTTTTGTTCAGAATTCTTAAATTCAGTTATTCAAACCTCCATTTCTCTGGAAGGGCAGCTCAAACTATCACTTAGGATTTCCTCAGATTTTTTAGATGAGCTGATTGTCAGTGAGTCCAAAGTCAGATCTTGGAGAGGTGAAGAGAGTCTCATCTCTCTGTGGAGGGCTTCAGTGCTGCTCTTTTGGCTGTGTGTTGGAGTTGGATGTGTCTGTGAAGAATCCAACTGCTGCACTGACTGCAAACCAAGAAAAAGATCACAGATGACTCACAAATGAAATATATTTTAACATTATGGGCCCTATCTTGCACCCGGCGCAAATGACTTTGTACACTGACGCATGTATCATTCCTATTTTGCACCCGCGCAAAGTGGGCTTTTCCCTCCACAGACGCACGTCGGTAAACTAGGAAATGAACTTGCGCTGTTATATTTTAACATTAGGTCTATTAAATATAATAATTATGCTAATGGATATTTAAAGGGAAAATCTAACCAAAAATAAAAAATCTGTCCATCATTTACTCACCCTCATGTCGTTCCAAACTCATATGACTTTCATTCATCAGTGGAACATAAAAGAAGATATTTTGAAGAATGTTGGTAACCCAACAGTTTACCACTGACCTCCACTGTATGGACCAAAATATATAATGAAAGTCAATGGGAACCGAACGTGCTGGGTTACCAACATTCTTCAAAATATCTTCTTTTATGTTTCACAGAAGTAAGAAAGTCATACAGTACATGTTTGCAATGACATAAGGGTGAGTAAAGTATTACAGCATTTTATTTTTGGGGGGTGGACTATCCCTTTAAAGGTTCAATGGAAGTAACACTGCTATGTACAACACGAAAAACAAAATATCTGATGTTAGTGTAGTCTTACATAGTCTTCATTCTTGTCATCCTTCTTAACTTGTAGCTGGTTTTGACTGTAGTACTCCGCCCACCATAAATGCATAAATTGTGCAAAGTTCTTGCTGGAATCCCTAAAAGATGACTCACTGGCAGCCTGTGGATTATATGAATGATGCCAGGGCTTGATCCCACCCAAGAAGTGGACGATTTTTGCATGGTGGCCATACCTGTACAAAACCAGAATGCTTATTTGTCCTACTTGAGTATGTATTTAATGTGGTATATGATTACTTAATAAACATTACACAAATATAGAGTGAAAACTAACTTACTGCTGAAATGCTGGCAGATAAGTGTAGACAGCACTGGCTGTGAGGTTGTACACAAATGGTAAATGCTTCCTGATATCTTTTACTGCCCAGTCACTGAAGAAAGTGTTTAAAACACCCTGGTCTCCTCCTATACATGACAGGTTTTGTCATATTAATGTCATTAATAGATTTATATTTGACAGTACTATAGTACCGTGAGTGAGTGAGTGAGTGAGTGAGTGAGTGAGTGAGTGAGTGAGTGAGTGAGTGAGGTGAGTGAGTGAGTGAGTGAGTGAGGTGAGTGAGTGGAGTGAGGTGAGTGAGTGAGGTGAGTGAGTGAGTGAGTGAGTGAGTGAGTGAGGTGAGTGAGTGAGTGAGTGAGGTGAGTGAGTGAGGTGAGTGAGTGAGTGAGTGAGTGAGTGAGGTGAGTGAGTGAGTGAGTGAGTGAGGTGAGTGAGTGAGGTGAGTGAGGTGAGTGAGTGAGGTGAGTGAGTGAGTGAGGTGAGTGAGGTGAGTGAGTGAGTGAGTGAGGTGAGTGAGGTGAGTGAGTGAGTGAGTGAGTGAGGTGAGTGAGTGAGGTGAGTGAGGTGAGTGAGTGAGGTGAGTGAGTGAGGTGAGGTGAGTGAGTGAGTGAGTGAGGTGAGTGAGTCAGAATATTCAGAATATCCCAAATATACCCTGAATTCGAATCCACATCAGACACACAGAAAATCCCATATTTACTAGGAGAAATGCCCAAATGTGAGATAATTGCTGCAAAATATGTCTCCTCATGCCATGAAATGAGGACAACCAGTGGAACCTCAGATGAATAAATAATTGTACAAATTTTCAAATAATTATTATTTTGATTGTTTGATATTTTAGTAATTGTTTTATTTTATTTTTTATTGTTCACTTTTATTTATCTATATGTTTGTATATGTCTATTGCTTTGGCAATATTGTGCTATTGTACACATTCATGCCAATAAAGCTGAATTGAATTGAATTGAGTGAGGTGAGTGAGTGAGTGAGTGAGTGAGTGAGTGAGTGAGTGAGTGAGTGAGTGAGTGAGTGAGTGAGTGAGGTGAGTGAGTGAGTGAGGTGAGTGAGTGAGTGAGTGAGGTGAGTGAGTGAGTGAGTGAGTGAGTGAGTGAGTGAGTGAGTGAGGTGAGTGAGTGAGTGAGTGAGTGAGTGAGGTGAGTGAGTGAGGTGAGTGAGTGAGTGAGGTGAGTGAGTGAGTGAGTGAGTGAGTGAGGTGAGTGAGTGAGGTGAGTGAGTGAGTGAGTGAGTGAGGTGAGTGAGTGAGGTGAGTGAGTGAGTGAGTGAGTGAGGTAGGTGAGTGAGTGAGGTGAGTGAGTGAGTGAGTGAGTGAGTGAGTGAGGTGAGTGAGTGAGGTGAGTGAGTGAGTGAGGTGAGTGAGTGAGTGAGGTGAGTGAGTGAGGTGAGTGAGTGAGGTGAGTGAGTGAGTGATTGAGGTGAGTGAGTGAGTGAGTGAGGTGAGTGAGGGAGGTGAGTGAGTGAGTGAGTGAGTGAGTGAGGTGAGTGAGGTGAGTGAGTGAGTGAGTGAGGTTAGGTGAGTGAGTGAGTGAATGAGGTGAGTGAGTGAGTGAGTGAGTGAGTGAGTGAGTGAGTGAGTGAGGTGAGTGAGTGAGTGAGGTGAGTGAGTGAGGTGAGTGAGTGAGTGAGTGATTGGAGTGAGTGAGTGAGTGAGTGAGTGATTGGAGTGAGGTGAGTGAGTGAGTGAGTGAGTGATTTGAGTGAGGTGAGTGAGTGAGTGAGTGAGGTGAGTGAGTGATTGGAGTGAGGTGAGTGAGTGAGGTGAGTGAGTGAGTGAGTGAGTGAGTGAGGTGAGTGATTGAGTGAGTGAGTGAGTGAGTGAGGTGAGTGAGTGAGTGAGTGAGTGAGTGAGTGAGTGAGGTGAGTGAGTGAGGTGAGTGAGTGAGTGAGTGAGTGAGTGAGTGAGTGAGGTGAGTGAGTGAGTGATTGGAGTGAGGTGAGTGAGTGAGTGAGTGAGGTGAGTGAGTGAGTGAGTGAGTGAGTGAGTGAGTGAATGAGGTGAGTGAGTGAGTGAGTGAGTGAGCGAGGGAGTGAGGTGAGTGAGTGAGGTGAGTGAGTGAGGTGAGTGAGTGAGTGAGTGAGGTGAGTGAGTGAGTGAGTGAGGTGAGTGATTGAGTGAGTGAGTGAGGTGAGTGAGGTGAGTGAGTGATTGGAGTGAGGTGAGTGAGTGAGTGAGTGAGTGAGTGAGTGAGTGAGTGAGTGAGTGAGTGAGTGAGGTGAGTGAGTGAGTGAGTGAGGTGAGTGAGTGATTGGAGTGAGGTGAGTGAGTGAGGTGAGTGAGTGAGTGAGTGATTGGAGTGAGGTGAGTGAGTGAGTGAGGTGAGTGAGTGAGTGAGGTGAGTGAGGTGAGTAAGTGAGTGATTGGAGTGAGTGAGTGAGTGAGTGGAGTGAGTGAGTGATTGGAGAGAGTGAGTGAACGAGTGAGTGAGTGAGGTGAGTGAGTGAGTGAGTGAGTGAGGTGAGTGAGTGAGGTGAGTGAGTGAGTGAGGTGAGTGAGTGAGTGAGTGAGGTGAGTGAGTGAGTGAGGTGAGTGAGTGAGTGAGTGATTGGAGTGAGGTGAGTGAGTTGAGTGAGTGAGTGAATGAGTGAGTGAGGTGAGTGAGTGAGTGAGTTGAGTGAGTGAATGAGTGAGTGAGTGAGTGAGGTGAGTTGAGTGAGTGAGTGATTGGAGTGAGTGAGTAAGTTGAGTGAGTGAATGAGTGAGTGGGTGATTGGAGTGAGTGAGTGATTGGAGTGAGTGAGTGAGTGAGGTGAGTGAGTGAGTGAGTGAGTGATTGGAGTGAGTGAGTGATTGGAGTGAGTGAGTGAGTGAGTGAGTGAGGTGAGTGAGTGAGGTGAGTGAGTGAGTGAGGTGAGTGAGTGATTGGAGTGAGTGAATGAGTGAATGAGTGAGTGATTGGAGTGAGTGAGTGAGTGAGTGAGGTGAGTGAATGAGTGAGTGAGTGAGTGAGTGATTGGAGTGAGTGAGTGAGGTGAGTGAGTGAGGTGAGTGAGTGAGTGAGGTGAGTGAGTGAGTTGAGTGAGTGAATGAGTGAATGAGTGAATGAGTGAGTGATTGGAGTGAGTGAGTGAGTGAGGTGAGTGAGTGAGTGAGTGAGGTGAGTGAGTGAGTGAGTGAGTGAGTGAGTGAGTAAGGTGAGTGAATGAGTGAGTGAGTGAGTGAGGTGAGTGAGTGAGTGAGTGAGTGAGTGAGGTGAGTGAGTTGAGTGAATAAGTTGAGTGAATGAGTGAATGAGTTGAGTGAGAGAGGTGAGTGAAAAACAGAGATGCCGACAATGAGAACATCAGTTATCTCTATCACCGAAAACTTTAACAATATAGGAATACTTTAAGAAAGAAAAAATAACAAAACCCAATAAGTCATCTCAGGGAAATTGAATAATCCTTAGAACTTCTGGAAACATTGGAACAACACACTAACCAAATCTTACCATCAAGAACTAACCATCCAGAATGGAGATGTTTGGATAAACCACTTCTCCAACCTCTTTAGTAATATAAACAGAAATCAGGAACAAAATGCCCTGTACGACAAACTGAGGGTTTTAGAATCAACCATCAAAGACTACCAGAACCCCTTAGACTCCAATTACACTAGCCAAACTATTAGACAAAATACAAACCCTGAAATCGCAAAAAGCCTGTGGTGTCGATGGCATCCTAAATGAAATGATTAAATACACAGACCACATATTACAATTATCCATCCTCAAGCTCTTCAATATCCTTTTGAGTTCAGGTATATTGCCCAACATCTGGAACAAAGGTCTTATTACCCCAATCCATAAAAACGGAGAAAGATTTGACCCTAATAACTACCGTGGTATTGTGTAAACAGCAACCTAGGCAAACTTCTCTGCAACGTCAGACCATACACTCTCCATACATACCTTAATCGATAAGCAAATCAACCAAAACAAAAGTAACATTTTCTCATGCTTTGTTGACTTCAAAAAAGCTTTTGACTCCATTTGGCATGAAGGTCTTTTTCTTCAATTAATCCAGTCCGGCATCGGAGGAAAAACATATGACATCATTAAATCAATGTACACAAACAACAAATTTGCAGTAAAAATTGGTAACAAACACACCGAATTCCTCCCTCAAGAGTCGTGGAGTGAGACAGGGCTGCAGCTTAAGTCCGACTCTGTTCAATATATACATAAATGAGCTAGCGAGGGCTCTGGATCAGTCTGCAGCACCTGGTCTTACTCTACTGGACACTGAAGTCAAATGCCGATGATCTGGTGCTGCTGTCTCCCACAAAAGAGGGTCTACAGCAGCATCTAGACCTCCTGCACAACTTCTGTCAGTCATGGGCCCTGTCAGTTAACTCCAAAAAGACAAAAATAATGATTTTTCTAAAAAGACCCAGCCGCCAAGACCAACATCATAGTTTTAAATTAGAACACACACGATAAAACGGTATCGTTATTTATCGACGGTACACCATTGTCGGTAACGATATATAAAAAATTTTCGATATATCGCTCGCTATTTTCATTAAAATGTGCGCGCATCGCTGGCGCGACCACCACAACATTTCCCAACATCAAATGGCATATTAATGAAACGTAATGAAAGCAGAACGAAACTGCACTACTCACTGTTTTGTGCTTCACGGACCGTTTATCTGTTTGGACCAATGTCAGTGCAGCAACACTGTTACTACACAGTGCTAAGAGATCCAGTATAGAAAGGATTTGAGCATTTGAATTCGCCACTGAAGTAACATTCACCATGAATTTAATGTAGTAACACTAACTGTAACCATGGAAGTTTGGCAGGAACAGTAAAATGCTTTCAAGTAAGTCACACATCTTTTTCCAGCACTTCAAAACTAAAATATTATCATATTTTTAAATGTTATTTTTAATGTGATGACCAAAACATTATTTGTTCATTCTTCAAAGATTACTCCCATTTATAAAACTAAAAGTTTCAAGATGTAGGAAAACTCACACTTATTTAAAAATAATTTTTCTTTAAATAAATATATACATATTTTTTAAATCAAGGAAATTTCTCTGGCATTTCTTTCTTTTTGCCACTGTGTCATATAGAACCGAACCGTGAATTTTGTGAACCGTTACACCCCTACTTATTACAGATGTTGATCTACCTCAAAGTTTGCCTTGATTGTTCTATGTTTACACTTTTACATTGCACACATTTTGTAACATTCTATTTAAGTTCAAGAGTTTCTTTAGAACTTACTTTTTTATCTTAATATAAGACAAAAAAATAATTTTGTTTACAATTCTAACTTTTCTACTTGTCTTAAAAAAAAGTTATAAAAAAGTCAATAATTATCGATACCGAATGATATTTTTTACCTATATCGCCCTATGAGTGGGTGAGTTGAGTGATTGGTGTGGGTGAGTTGAGTGAATTGAGTTAGTGAGTGAGTGAGTGAGTGAATCAAAGAATTAATAAATGAATCAATCAATGAATCAATCAACAAAGAGCCACAGTTCAAAGGGTTGGTAAGTTTGTTTTAATGTTTTTGAAAGAAGCCTGTTATGCTCACCAATAACACAATATAAAACAGTAATATTGTGAAATATTATTACAATTAAAACAACTGTTTTCTATTTGAACATATTCTAAAATGTAATTTATTCCAAACTGAATTTTTAGCAGCCATTACCTCAGTCTTTGGTGTCACATGATCCTGCTTAAGAAACATTTATTATTATCAATGTTGTAAACAACTGTGCTGCTTAAAAATTTTGTGGAAACCATAATGATGAATATAATCTTTGATGATATAAAGTTCATTTTTAACAGCATTTATTTAATATATACATTTTGGTAACACTTTACTTAAACGTAAAGTGTACACTTTACGTAGAGTGTTACCAAATGGTAGTGTATATGCAACCCGATCTCACGGCAATTCGTACAAATTTTACCAGGTGGCTAATTCGTACCAATTCATACGACCTCACTCGTACGAATGAGAAAGATTTTTGCTAAATCGTACATATTTTACAAGTTGCCCAATTCGTACGAATGACCGACACCTGACCCCGCCCCTAAACCTAACCATCACGTGGGTTTGGACAAATCGTACGAATTCGTACGAGTGAGGTCGTACTAATTTGTACGAATTAGCCACCTTTTAATCACTCGTACGAATTCGTACAAATTGGTTGTGAGATAGCGTTGGTATGTGATGCTCCTGTTGTTGCTTTTAAAGATTAAAAATACAAATGTGACAAAACAGTATTTGAGGCTAATTAAAGTTCCAACACGCATTGGGCACATCTGATTTTGACTTAACTTAAAAGATGTTAATGTAATATACACTAAATATAACTGAGTGACTCACCATCAAAGCTGCCGTGTTGTGCGGCGTGTTCCAGTATTTGGGTATGGGTATTCAGGGAGGGCCTGAACACAAATACCCCAGAGTTGAAGCAATCCGGCCAGCCTGGATCAGGTGCAGCAGACAATTCTTCATATTCAAACAGCTCATCAACATTACACAGTACCTGCGGCACAGAATAATATAACAGCCTAGTTGTGGGGCCATCAACTCATAAATTATCCTCAAAGTATGTACCTGCACTGTAACATATGCAGACCGTGGCACTTTGTTTATTATTGCATATTTTGCACAATAATATTTAGTTATGTATTCTGTGTTCCTAAAGCTTTGAACACCTTGGTGTACTTTAATGGCCATCTTTACTTTCATTTAAAGATGGTGTTAAATGCTAACGATGTCTGATATAGTGTACAGCACCTTGGTCAACTACTGTTGTTTTTAGTGGTGCTATATAAATAAAGTTGAGTTGAGTTGAGATTTATCAGAACAGAACCAATTACTCACAAGTGTGTCTGCATCCAAGAACACACACTTGCTGAACTGTGTAAGGGTCCAGCAGTGGAGTTTGGTGAAGGTGACCCCTAGTTCAGGACGTCCCAGCCAGGTGAGATGTGCCTTGTCTCTACTGTCCAACACATCTACCACGACAACTTCATCAAACACGTCCTCCAGGGCCAATCTAGAAGAATGCATAAAAATCAATGAGGCAAAAAAAAAAAAAAAAAAAGACAAAGACAATCCAAGATAGATGAGAAGCAACCCAAAGAAAGATTAATGTTGCACTGGCATTGAAAACTATTACAGACTTTAATAGTACCATGCATGGGAAAGAATTACCCTTTTGAAAGTCAAATATTATTATCAAGCTAAATGTACAGAAGGAGCTTAATCACTCTTCATAGCCCTTACTTCTGAAGTTTGTCAGGAAAGGATTGATGTTATTTCAGAATTAATAGTGGAGGACAGTTGCTCACTCACCTTCCTACCCTAGAAACATTGGGGGAAACCATGACCACTAACTTCCTTGATGTTCCATGTCTGCGCAAACTTTTGCCTACCACTATACATCCCATGCAATAGGCATCTGTAGTGGCCAGGGTCACAAAGGCCTGAGCCTCTGAGAGAAAGAGACACACAAAATACCAGACATAAATAGTAAACAGAGGACAATAGTGCAATAAATGTGCTTTGGACCAATACCAATAAAAAATTGTAAAGCACATTTTTACATGCTGTTTTTTTATAAAGTATTTTTTGCAGTAAGTTTTACAAGAAAATACTATTTCAGTCTTTATAGGTCAAAATTGCATTCATTAATTTCTTTGTGAAATTTACTAGCACTTTTTGAGTGAAAAATGTCACCCAATTTGTTTCACTGTTCTAGTCACATTTTATTTGAAATGATCATGATCTTAATTTAATTTGTTTAACTAAAATTCAGACATGCCTGAATGAAATTAATTTTTGTAGCCTTAATGGACCAGATATTGGTTAAGGAAAAGCAGCCAACAAGTGCGAAGCACACATCTGAATAGTAGGCTAATAGTAATTAAAAAAGAAGAAATGTGTGTCTAAGTCGAACTTTTGACTGGCATTAATAAGGTGGGTTTCAAAAAGCACACAACAAGGTTTCGAGTTCTCTCAATGACTCATTACATTCACCCGCCATTGTGAACTAGTTACTGATATAGCCTACACAAGATATCACCTTAGTTGTTTTCCTGTGTCCTCCTGACTCCCTGGCAGGCAAAAGGAGCAGATGGCAAAATGACACAACTGGATGGCATGGTCAGTGACTGAACTTGAAATGAACAGGCTTGATATGACAGCACTTTGAATAAACAATTTCTCTCAAAACACCATTAGCCTATTATATCTAAGTTTGTTGGATTATGTAAAATCACACCGACCGTCCTTCCCAGTTAATAATTAAGTCAGCTCAAATACATTGTTACTCGGTCTAGACATTTGGACGTAAACATATTAGAGGGGTCAGCTTACCCGTCATTTCTCAAGTCTGATTTTTATGTCGCTCTTCGAAGTAACGAGGGGAAATCTTTTATGGAACAAGTGCTATAAAGTAAATGGCAGTGTTTAAAATAAATGATGAAAAGTCGATGAAACGGCAGTACAGGTCTTTCTTCAAACAGCATGCAGCGTTGCCTTCAGTCAACGTTCACTGACAAGTGGGAAAAAAAAGATTGATATAGCCTAACGGTATTGCGACAGCGGTCATTCAACCCCCGCCACTATTGGACATAAAATGAGAATGAGTATCACCTACCATTAGCCTATCTAGTATAGGGTCATTAAACTTATTACAAGATTTAAACACTGAAAAATAAATGAAGGAAAACAATCTCGGCGCCGAATTAAAGATCAAAATATTCCGTTAAAGCAGCACTCAGTAAGAATTCCGTTTTTGTCAAACAGCGACCCCTAGAGTCGCTGTGGAGCACTTGTACTGTCGTGAATAGCACTCGCGCAGAGATGGCTCGCACTCACGGCCGGATCCCCTCCCCCTGTACACCGGTACCTGTTCAGTAGGATGGACGCTGTAACGAGTGAAAATAAGGTATGGCCCCTTTAAGAGCTGCGCGCGCCCAACACCACATGTATACGGCGCCGGGTTATTTCTGTTTGATGCTCATTTTATCAGAATTTTATCAGATCTGTTTTTTTTTGGCGTAAAGCAATTCGTTACCTCGCGAGACCTGATATCACACGATACTTCCTAACACTCGCGGCTCGCCGGCCCAAAGTTGCAAGGGTGGTTTTGCGGCTCACAGGCACCTGGGGGGTGCGAGACGACCACCATTCAACACGAAATCAGTAATATAAACATTACAATGACTCCAAAGCTGTTCGGTTAAGGTAAAAAAGTTACTTAGTTCACCTAGGCTAGGCCTAGGCTAAGCAACATCAAAATACAGAACAATGTTCTAAATCCAGGAACCAATGGCTTTATTTTGGTAAGAACAACCAAATGCATATTCAAAGAAAAATAAACTGAAGAAAAAAAAAGAGCAGACAGACAATAAATCATCAAGGCTCATTCTATAGTTCATATTTCAATTAAACACATTAAATGCAAGTTGACTTGTGCGTATCAAATGGCCAGTCTAAACGTGCAGTAGCCTACATCTTGCTTTAGCAGTATTTACAATGGCAAAAACAGGTTAATAATGAGAAGAAGAAAAAACTTTTTACCTCTCAAATAGTTATATTCTATTTGAATTAATTTAAATATAGAAAATGTGAGTTGGCAGCATCATTTTAAACTCATTCCATGTCAGTTTTATTTTAGTTGACATTTTGTCACCAGTCAATTCGATATTCATCAGCATACATCATCATCATCTTGATCCATCCATCCATTGTCTGATTGTAAAAGAAGGCAGTCTATAATTCAGATTACGCATGTCATGTTAGAACGAACAAAAAAACAACTGATGTATTCATCTGTAAACAGACAGCTTGCGCTTTACAATAGCAAGTCCCTTATGCAACTTGCTGTACTTCTACAAAAATAGTAACAACTTTGTCCATTTAAAGTGCAGTATCTTACATTAGCACTTGAAATACTAAAAGACCAATAAAAACCAAAAGTGACATTACTTCTACCTCTTTCAAAGATAAACAATTAGTCAAGAAAAATATTGAATACAGAAAAAAAATGCATTACAACTTAGAGAATCCAATGAAAAATAAAATCAACACACATTTTTTTTTTTTTTTAGCCTTAAACCAGTCTTTCATATAACGGATGTTTCCCACAGGGTTAGGCTCTCCATAACTGGACATGCTAGATGTACATATTCTTTCAGTGCGCAGATCCAATTGCGGTTACGATGAACGGAGCAGGTTGCTGAGAACTTTGGGGGAGAAAAGATTAAAATTGTTATCTACTTGGTGAAACTTTAAAAGCTGCATCAGAAAGCATGAAATCCATATAAAAACAAACCATTATCTTTTAAGGAAATATGTATAAAAAAAATAAAAAAATAAAAAAATACTTTTCTGAATACTTAATTTGAACAAAACTCTATGATTTAATACTGATGACTGTATATAAACCACACACCCCCCCAAAAAAAGAAAAAAAATTATTAAGCAGCACAACTGTTTCTTGTGCACCAAACCAGAATATTAGAATGTTTTCCAAAAGATCATGTGATCATTTAAACTTAAAAATAATAATAATAATAATAATTCTTACACTACCATGACAAAATTTGTGGTTGGTATCCATGTTAATTGAAACAATCACAAATAACTTTGCATATGACTTGGGGTCAGTATTACATTTTCTTAAATTCGCTAGGTTGGCACTATCATGCTTACCTTGTGGATCAGACTGAGTACCACGGTTTTTGCCACTCTCTGGATCCTCCCCTATAAGAAAATTTACTTTTTAGCTTATCCCATGAAACAATTTTGAGTCCCAGTTTATATTAGGTATCTTTAACTACTATATACTAACATTTAAATTAATCATTTGATACATACAATGCACGTATTGTGTACATACATGTTTTTACAATGTACTAATATGTTTTAAAAACACCTGCATATAATTACAGTTGTAATTAATCTCTGTATTTACATCTACAATTACTCTGTTGACCTTTCCCTTAAACCTAACCACCAAACCTGTCCCTAAACTTACCCGTATCCCAGCTCAATAGCAGCAAAAGTGTTTTGCAATACAACTACTTATTTTTTTTGTTGTAAGCACATAGTAGCTAAAGACACCTAATATAAAGTGTGAGTCAATTTTATGGTATTTTGAAAATTCAGCTACTAAAGTTCTATGTTAACACCATTCACACTTGGACAAAACACTGCTACTTGTTAGCCTTTTTTCATCATTCTCTCAAAAATCTCGACTCTGGTGGGACTCGAACCCACAACCTTTGAATCACTTCTCTAAGTGAAGCTTAGAAGTCCAATGCGCTATCCATTGCGCCACAGAGCCACCTGTTGAGGCAGTGAGGGCTTTTGTAATACAAGCAGAGCAGTTAAACTCCCTGCCACATCATGCGCCCAACCCCCACTTCCTCTACAATAGCTTCTGTGTTAGTTGAGCTAAGGTTAAACCATGTACTGTGGCTTCCGAAAGCATTTATATATAATTGTGGAACAAGTTATTAAAAGAGGTCAAATAGTTTGAGTAAAAAAAAAGTATGATTTTGAAGTTTAACAGCTTATTTGTGAAGTATTTTTTCCTCTTCTCTTTTGAACTGCTTTGATAAGCAAGCAACATAAACCAAAGCCAAGCTAGTGCTTGCATAAGGATTCAGAATCCTGGATAAAAGTGTTGAACTCACCTCCTTGTACTTTGAAACACAGTTTCTTTTTCTGATAGGCAAAGTAACTTGAGGCGGCACCTAGCAGAGCAACACCCACAGAACTGATGATGGCAGCCATGGTTCCGCCTGTGGGATCAATTTAAAGGGACAGAACACAAGGACAAGGGCTAGTTTCAAATTGCTTCTGGAGTGTACAATACGTTATACATATTTTTGTAATGGCTACATCAGTCATTAGTTGGAGCTTGATGACAAAACTAAAGAGACATGGGCATTTAACAAGAGGACAAGCAAACTGAGATGTTTTTGCCACTAGGGGGTGCAACAGGAGTTTCCTATTCTCCACAGAACACTTGGCAAATGTTCCTGTACATATTGTTCTTCAACTTGACATGTGTAAATATAAGCAATAACAACTAATACAGTTTACAGCATGCATTCAAAATCATGCTAAATAATGAAGTTTATTTAACTCTATTCGGTCAGAAAGAGTAGGTTCATAACACTGGAAGTAGTTAACTAACTACGTATCTGACATTGTGCAATTTTGATTAGGCAACTAAATTAGAAATTTAGATGCGGAGTTGCTCTAATATGTCATGAATTGTGTCATGATATATGGTGTAAACATGCTGGGTGTTGCCTGTCACACCCATTTTTGTGTATGCAAACCATGCATGCAGGAGTTCAACTGACTAAATAAATAGAGGTTTCCAAACTAATGTTTGAAGTTAACCTCCTACAAAATACTGTAGTTTCAGATCTAAAGCTATGCAGATTTACCTCCCTAAACTTTAGGCAGCCAGATAATATAAGAGGCAACTGGTAGCTGGCAGGTCAGTGTTCTTCACACATGCACAATACATTCTTACAATGCCATTGTTGGTGGGGTTTACCCAGTGAAATATGCTGACAATTAAAATAACTGGTCACAGCAGTTGTGCGAGACTATATGATATGAATCAAACAGAGGGAATTCTCACATTTCACTTTATTAAAAGGAAAGTGAACACAAAAAGTTGCTAAAATGCTTTAAAAAAAAGATGACAGAGAAAATAACCACTTCTGTGGAAAAGAAACCAGACAAACTTAAGAAAAGAAAAAATGTGAGCCTGAAAGACTACAATTGAGAACCAATACATCAAAATGGACACCAAACAATACCAATGTTAAAGCCATCTATCATGAGAAACAAAACCAGACAACTTTGAAATATTCAATAGATTAACAGCAGTAAATGTAAACTACCATGCTCTTACAATAGGATGAATGCCTGCTATGTGGTAAATAAACATTACAAAAATGTGTGTGTGGAGGGGGGAGGGGGGTCGTTTGGAGGGTCGCAACAATGCAGTAGAAGAACCAGTTCCAGTTCCCCAATAATAGTGAACAGTTCTTTAAGAAAAAAAAAAGTTCTTGTGTGTGTGTGTCTAAACAACTCTTAACCACTACAAAGAACCTTTTGTGCAATTGAAAGTTTCTAAAGGTTCTTCATGGAACCATTGATGCCAATAAAAACTACATTTTTAAGAGTCTCTTTTTAGACGAAACATCGGTATCTGGGGTAAAAAAAAGAAAAATTCCCTATAGCGCCTCTTCTCTCTTTGAGATTTAGGATGGCATAATCCCTGCATGCGCTAAAGCTTTCAGTTGTGACGCACACAAGGGCAAACATTTGCCAGTTTCAATCCTCTCGTACGTCAAGTAAGCCTAAAACCTAAAAAGTTTTAGCCAAAAGAGAATTGTGCTACAATGTTTCAACCTCAAATGTTATTTTTTCAAGAAAATAGGTAATAAGATGGCTTCCATGAGCAGAGGAAAAGGAAGCAAAGTAATGGAATGCTCAGTATGGCCTTGGGGTTAATTCCATAAAACCGAGCGGAGATAAGAAACGCCTTCTCAAACCCAGGCAAAACCAGTCCCAATGCTAGATCTATTCATTGGCAAAAAATCTGAGAATACCCTATGCATCTACAATGTGTCAACACAACAAGAGGCATGATAAAAAAGATCAGAAGTCATTGAGGATGTCCCGAGGAAAAATATGTGCATCTATTGGAATTCACACACCCCCTTTTGATCTAAAATAACTGTATCACTATTGTATTCTCTATTTCACAATCAGAATTATAATTTATTTGTACGCTCAAACAGATTCATAAACATAACAATCAACTATTAGTGGCTTCCACCAACTGATTTATTATATACACTGCTGTTCAAAAGTTTAGGGTCAGACTAAATAAGCTTTATTATGTTTTTTGAGAACAAGTCTCTTATGCTCACCAAGGCTGCATTTATTTGATCAAAAGTACAGTAAAAAAAAACATAATATTGAAAAAACTTTTCTGTTGTAACATTTTAAAATGTAATTTATTACTGTGATGCAAAGCTGAATGTCCAACAGCCATTACTGCAGCATATTAGAATGATTTCTAAAGGATCATGATGACACTGGAGATTGATGTGGAAACATTTCTTAACACAGACTTATTGACCCCAAACTTTTGAATGGTAGTGTATAGGCTTTTAATAATCCTTACTAACATAAAGACAACCGTCAAACCAGTCAGCAATACAATGAAATTAATTCCTTATTGCCAAATTTTCAAAACCAATGATTAATATTGATCATGACCAAATATGCATCTCATCCATATACCATGATCACCAGCAGCCCCAGCCTTAAAACCAAACCATGTAAACAATGTTTAAAACCATGTAAACAATGTTTAAAACCATTTCACCAATGTTTAAAACCATTTCACCCCAACACAAGCAAAGAAGGTTACTACTATACAAGACATTTAAAGCTCTGCCTTTTCCTCCGTTATATTCAGAAGTCCCCGAAACTGCTCTAGCAGGGGCTCTACTACTTGTAAAAACCCGGCAATCCAGACACTGAGGCCTTCTGGTATATTATCGCCTAGCATCTTGATAAGCTGGAGCCACTGCTGGTTTAGATCTGCAACAACAGGCAATCGAAGCAGAGATTTAGGGCACAGCCAGAGGCAGAATGAACAGTCAAATCTGTCAGTCTTCAGATACTAAAAGGCACTGCACATGATATGCACCACCCATTTACTATTCCAACACAGAAGAAAACAATCACCTAGTGGAAAAACCTCAACATGTACTGCCCACAATAATTGTTTTTGTCTGTCGGACCGCCCTGTCCTTATGCAAGAACTGTGTGACAGTTAGTCATCAGACTGCCACTGTTACCATGGTCTCACTCAATATTTAGAGAGAAACATTTTAGCTTTTGTGGTCAGACTCATTCTTAAAAAAAAAAAAAAAAAAAAACGGAAAATGAAACAGAGGACATGCTAACTCCACAGAGAAAGACAACATTGGCAAGTAAACAAAGCTTCTGTCAGGACAAACAGCTAGAACATAGAGAATGAAAGAGCTGGAACAAAAACACCACCCAGAGGCACTCACTCATGTCAGCTTTATATTTCAGTGGACAATTCATCCTTAGGTAAACTCCATAAAAGCCTTCATTTTGTGACCGACAGTTTCTCCAAAACAATTACTGATAGCTGTAACTTAAGTACTATTTAAATAAAATTAGTGAAAATAATATTTACCTTGAGGTTGATCAGAGGAACCGCCTAATGGGAAAATAACATTCAAATTATCACCCAGCAAATGAAGACATATTTTACTATTAAATATGTAAATGTTTTGTTACAGTAGATAAAAATAAACCATTATGAACCAGAGGGTAAACATTTGGCATAAGTATAAGGAAATAAGTACCGCTTTGATCATCATAACCAGGGTCTGCTCCTCCTCCTTTAACCAAAACCAAAAACCAGAGTCAGATTCACTTACAGCACTGACACACTTCACAGACAGTACTGTACATTTAGCTAGTTAGTTAGTTTTAGTTTATTTCGGTCACCATCAAAAATTAGTAACATATGTTACCAAGTTTAGGTAATCGTGATTGTATTTAGCAATTATTTTAAATGGGTTAGACATAAAGCTTATATTTAAGTCACAGAAACCCATGAGAAACTATGGAAGCTTGTTTCCAACAGAATAAAAAATAAAAAAAGATAATTGCGACTTTTTATCTCACAATTCTGACCTTGCGTCATATCAGAATTGTGCGATATAAATTCGCAATTGAAAGTAATATTAGTTACAATTGAAAGTTTATATCTTGCAATTCTGATTTTATAACAAGTTATATAACAAGTTGTTTGTGAGTTATAAAGTCAGAATTGTGAGATACAACTCGCAATTTTGAATAAAACAGTCAGTCTCTTCCCCTCAGAATTAGACTTTATAACTTGAGTTTATATCATTCATTTCTGAGAAAAGTCCGAATTGTAAGATAAAAAGTCGCAACTGCCTTTTTTATTTTTTATTCAGTGGCGGAAACAAAAGCTTCCACAGGAAACCCTTAGCGAAGCATGCTGAATATAAAATATTGAATGTGGAACAAGTTCCATGGCCAACTCTGTTGATTCTATTTTTCTCTAAAAAATTATCTAAAGTAACATATGGACAATAAAGAACATCTTTTAAATTAACGGTTTTTTTATTTAGGAAATGACAGTGCAATGCAAGTAGTTATGGTTATATGATGTTTGTTGGGAGATTTTTCCTACAATTGAATTGGGTGACATCTGTTTATAATTTAACTCTGGATTTGATCTTCTGCTATGAACAGAGATGCAAACTTCAAATCAACTTACAGTCCTAAATCAAACTGAAAAACTGATAAAAAAAAAAAAAGATGTAAAACTTGACACAAACCTCCACCTCGGCCTTTATCGGGCATGTATTCACCCCCCTCATTAACGTCGAAAAGGTCTTTGTCATCAAAAGTTCCACCACCTAAATGAAACATTAATGCAAGATTTCACAAGAATAGCAGTTTAATGCACATAAGAATCTGATTGGGTTCAGTAACCTTTCAGTTCCTCACACTTTTTAAAGTGTTGATTTACCTAAATTAAATGAGGTTTTTGAATAAAGACTGCTACCTAGAGTATAGTGAATTTAAACAAATATTCAATTAATGTATTTTCCTTAAAAGAAAAAAAAACATTATTATAAACTACATATTTACTTATGTAAATAAGCAATTTTGCCCCTGATGGACCAAATTTAAAAATGTTCACATAATCTATAATTGTAATTAAAGTCAAAATTTCAGTTTGTGGCTTTTTGTAATAATGTTAGTATAAAGTTTATTTATAATCTAGCGTGTTTCTAAATGATGACAAAATTCTCATTTAGAAGATAAGCATTTTATTATTATTATTTTCTCGAAACACACACACTAAAAAAAATTTATGACATAATTCTGCCCTTTTTTTTCCCATCCAATTCAATTGGTCACTTCGTGAACACATTTACTAATTCCTATATAGTAATAAAACACAGCACACTATATATGGAATAGGGAGTGATTCACATAGTGTAAATATGCTTTCCATTGGGGAAATTCCTAAACACCTCAAGGAATACTGTGCTCATCAAGCCTAGTCTCCGGAACTTTAATATACAAGATTTATGCATGTTCCCTGGCTGAGTAATATGTATTTTTTTACTAATGCCATGCATTTAAAAAAAATTACAGAATTTAATGTGCAGCACTTCAGTTTTATCTCTCTTAAACAGTAAAATAGACCCCAAGAATTACACTATTGCCAGCTTTTTTTGAGAGATAAGGATGGTACGGAGCCCCTAAAGGGACATGGTGGTGGAAAAAAATTTAGGAGTTTTTTTTTTTCAAATCTTTTGCGTTCCCTCGCATAACCTTTGCATTCCCCCGAGAAACTTTGCGTTCCCTCGCAAAACTTTTGCGTTCCCACGTAAAAGTGTTGCGTTCCCTCGCAAAGATATTTGCGTTCCCACGCAAAGCCTGTTGACAGCTCGGACAGACACTTCCTGTTTAATGTCCCGCTGCCAGTGTTTCAGAGCTCCGTACGTTAATGGAGCGTTTCATAGTGTTTGAACTTGGACTCAAATATAAAGACATGCGGTCAGTGCTTAACTCAAGCAGTTCAGTGAAGTTACACATCGGCTATTCGAACTTCCCGGATCAATATTCTTGAGCTAAACGTTGTTAAAACACACATGACACCTATTTACAATCACAGTAACCTAGACAACGAGCTACAACCCAATTCTCCTCAAAACGAGCTTTATAATATAAATTTGTCTTTAACCGGCCGATTGAGAGGCAAGTCCGAATAAGGGACCGTCTGCAAAGTGCAAATCCCAAAACCCTTCTGTACATTTTATATTATTTAACATATTCAATAGCTTCACTGTGATACACTGTAGGCTACTGTCACCAAATTCAGTTCCAATAATACCCTTTTTAGAAAAAATATTCAGTAACTTCGTTATACAGTGTAATGCCATCAAATTGACCCTTCACTAAGCCACGCCCGAAAACCGCCACTGGCCAATCGTGTCTTAGCAACCGTAACTAGGTGCGGTAGGTCTGGCAAGCTTTCGAGCGAGGAGCGTTGTGCGTATGGATTGTGCAAATCTGATACCCGGTATCCTAAAAGTTCGGAATTGTTTTCCTTCCCGAAAAATCTAAAAGCCAAAGGGAGAAATAATGGGCGTGAATCAAGCAGTGTGGGAGACCCCATTCACAACTATGTCGACAGGATTAACTAAAACACCTATTGCTTGGAAGTTGGAAATAATGACGGTTCTTTGTTCATAATGCATATATTTTAACGTAAAATAAGACGATTAAAGACAAGTCGGAGGCTCACTGACATACTTTAAAATATATTTAAGCATTTTGTTAATCGACGGCCTACTACCCCTGACTGAGTAACGTTAACTTTACACTAACACTAACTCCCGGTGTTAGTGTTATTCCACAAGATTTATGGATAAATCTGGATAAACTTTGATTTATAATTATTTTCACATTTCACTTACCCTGCTGTGCACGAACATAGCTGTTCCTCAATTTGTGTGTTTCCCATGTGAATGATCAGCGTATGAGGCGGTTGCTGTTTGCGCTGGGAATATAGGCTTTAGCTTCAATTTTTATGAAATTATTCTCTAATTGTTGCATATTTTGTCGTGGATATATATCCCTCGAATGCATACTGCTGTCCCTTTTGTCTTGCTCTCTCAGATTTTCACATGTTCGCCAAAAATTACTAATTATCTCATTGGGAATGTCTGACACCATACACACTGTAATAGACGTGCCAGGCGCGAAAGCTTGACAGGCGTAGCAACAGTAACTAGGGAGGGCGGGGCTTAGCGAAGGGTCAATTCAGTAAGCAAATATAATGCAAAAGCTATGGTTGTAACTATGTTAGCTGCGTACAGTACCAATATAATTTGTGTAAAGAAAAGGCCTACTTATTTTTTATGTGCAATTACTTCCCAAACTAAGTGTTGTATAACCAACATTAGAGCAGTGATGTGTGAACTAAATTTGGTGTGTTACAGTGAAGTTATTAAAAAAAAAAATGTATAATATAAAATGTGCAAAAGCAGTGCAGTATGACCAGTGGGTTTACCATTGATGTGTAAACTGAATTGGGTGGTTTGTAACATTGAAGTTAATGACTATTTTTATATGTTTGACTATGAGTTGATGCTGTAGTCGTTTTTTTGGGTTATATTGCACTTTGCAGATGGTCCCTTCGGACTCAGCCGCCTGCTCATAGAGATCCATTTAGCCTATATTATAAAGCTCGTTTTGAGGGGAATTGGGTTGTAGCTCGTTGTCTAGGTTACTGTGATTGTAAATAAGTGTCGTTTGTGTTTTGACAACGTTTAGCTCAAGAATATTGATCCGGGAAGTTCGAATAGCCTATGTGTAGGCCTATTGCCAACTTCACTGAACTCCTTGAGTTAAGCACTGACCGCATGTCTTTATATTTGAGTCCAAGTTCAAACACTATGAACGCTCCATTAACGTACGGAGCTCTGAAACACTGCCAGCGGGACATTAAACAGGAAGTGTCTGTCCGAGCTCCCAACAGGTTTTGCGTGGGAACGCAAATATCTTTGCAAGGGAACGCAAAGTTTCTCGGGGGAACGCAAAAGATTTTAAAAAAAAAAACTCCCATCCTAAAATTTTTTCCACCACCATGTCTCTTTAGGGGCTCCGTGGGGTGGTGCAAGACCCTAACAGATGCAAACAAACATGGGTAGAACTTTATATTTAGTCCTGTTTTTGCATGTACATACAGTAACTAGGTACTAACCCTGAACCTAACCTTAACCAATGTAGTTACCTTATATTACCAGTACTTTCTAATGTAACTACACTGTAAGCACACGTAATGTAAACTAAAGTGTAACCCAAACATGTTGGCAGAAACATACCAGTTCCTCTCTCTTTGGGTGGGATAACAGGTTTTTTGGGATCAAGATCTGTAGAAATAGAAAGTGTATCTATGTTTAATACAAACGAAGATATTTTGAAGAATGTTTTAAGGTGTGTGTGTTTTTTTTTTAAAGAAAACCTATGGCATGATGTTACTCATTGAATAGCACCTTTGAAACAATCAGAACAGAAAAAACCTATTAGCAATTGTAATAGCCATGAACAGCAGAAAAGGAGCTCCATTTACCAGCTGAGTATCTATGAATATAGTGTGCCTCAAATGTAAACTGCATGAAAGATTGAAAATCTCTTAATTAAATCAATAAATTATATACTGGGGGGGAAAAAAGATTGTAAACAAGAGAAAAACAGAATCTACAATGTCAGAGAAAGCAACATCATTTTTTACCTGGATTAAATGCATCGGACAGATCAAATTCATCTGAAAATTAAATCATCATGTTAATTTGTTTGCATTGCATTAGTAGGTTGATTACTGTACAAAAATAACAGATTTAAAAACATAATGACGTGTGTGTGTGCATGTATATTTTACCTCCAGAATCAGATGGTTTCTTTTTATCTGCAAATACAATAAAAAGGAACTACACATTATCTTGTATTAACACACTCATTTACAAACAAGTAATAAATCAACTTAAATGACAAATGAGCTAATTAAACTAAATGCACAATGGGTCAGTTAAACAAACATTACTACATAAACTGTTAACTATTTATTTTACAGTGTCCTTGTTACAAATTCTACATGAACTTACTAGTAACAGTAAATTCTGCATAATTGGGTTACAATTGATTTTAAGGTGTCCATGCTATAGTGTAATTATACATTTAAGTACGGAGTAAAAAATTAACTACATATAGGATTAGGGTTAGGAATAGGGGTTGGTTTAGGGTTAGTTGACTATAATTATGCATCATTTATTGTTATTACTACAGAAACAACATGTAACCTGTGATTGACATTGTGATAACCCTTACTGATATATTAGTGTTAGAGTAGAGTATAGTAGTTAAAATAAAGTGTTACCCATAATTGCATGCAACCCTAAACCAAACTCTAATCCTAACCCTACTAGGTACATGTTATTCATTAAAGCTGCAGTCCGTATCTTTTCCTCTTTGTCGCCATCTCTCTGTTCGAAATCTGTAACTGCAGTGATTTGCGGAATTATTATCTTTACGTGGGTTGTAAATCGGCACGAAACAGCGCGGATGAACACAGTGTTTTGAGGTGAGTGCTGCTGTCAGTCACCGCGCCGGTGTGGATACTGTCATACAGAATCACAGATTCACTTTTTGAAAGTTTGACCAACATAAGAATTTTCATAAGAAAATGTCTTCTGAACAAGTAAGTAAAATCCATTTTTGTTCTGACCAACTAAGGGGGAAAAAGCATTCGACATGATAAGCTTCGTTAGATTTAATCAACGCGATTTACAGCAACCGTGCAAATTATAGCCTACTTTGTTGAACTACTTTGTAGCCTAGCTGATGTTGTTAACATGAACAATTTGAGAACAAAGTTTGTTCTCAAATTGTTCATGTTAACAACATCAGCATTGCGTGACTAATGTTAAATTTAATGTGTTTTATGGTTACCTGCGTAGTTCAGAATTCATATTCTCCATAATAGCAAAATGAGAAAGGCACAACAAAGGAAACTCCATAACTGTGTGAATTAAGAAAACGTACCGTTACACGATTGAACTATTGAAATGTCTTAACTTACTTGTTCAGCAGAAAAAGGCCGTCTCTTCTTCCGTTTTGAACCCCTTCACGCACTTTTCAAAATCCCCGCCGATGTTTAAATCCTTGTGTTCGCATGAGACGGTTTCTTTCTCTTTCTCTAGCCACCTTAAATCCGAAGTACGAAGTCTTTTGGGTTTTATAACTGCTGAATCTCCAGTTGACACTGATGATTGTTGTTTGGATCTTTCTGGATGCCATAAGTTTAATTATGTAAAGTGCTGCGAGAAAAGCCTATACATCTAAACATCTCGTCACGCACAGTATAGCCGGCTAGCCGAAACTCCTTCTTTATGTGTACGGGTGTGACGTAATGACGCAAAGACATGCTCGAATTTCCCGCGGAAACCCACCAGTACCACTGGAATTAAAATCATTATTACAAGCTAACCGTTTTGAATCTAGCTATGGCAAGCAGATAGTTTTGACCACTGGCAGAATAAGTTTTTTTTAATATAATTATTTTGGATTATTTTTAACTTAAAAAAGTTACGGACTGGAGCTTTAATATTACATGTATAATTATACTGTAACAACGAGACCTCAGAAGAACTCAACCTTTTTAACTTCAAGACCCCACCACCACTCACAATTTCTACCGGACAAAATATTTTAGATCTTGGTAAAGCTAGAAAGATGCATAATCAAAATATCTTGATTTTTAGTTGTTTTAGCCTCTTTCTAAATAATATCAAGTCATTTTGAGGGCCCCCACTGTCTTACAATAAAGTGTAACCCATGAACTTTATACATAAAAATTCCATAAACACCCCAGCATAATGATTTCTCACCGTCTCCTGATTTGGGGGGGACCACAGCAGGTTTTTTGGGGTCTGTATACAAAAAGCAATGATCATAAAGAGATATTTTACTTTGAGTTTAGGGTCATTTAAATACAGCAACCGAAATGAAATGGCCACCCCCCACAAAGGATTCACTGAATTCCAAATCAAAGAAGTTCACACAGCAACGGAATTTGATAAGTCGAGTCTCAGTCTTACCTGAATCGAAGCCATCTGACAGATCAAATCCTAGAAGAGCCAGACAAAACTATAAATTAGGTAGCACTCATGTTAGTCATTCTACGTATACCGCAATGTGCCTTAAACAGTGCATACGACTGTAAAATTATGTCAATTCTTTCCATTGCTATATGCAAAACAAACACACACAAAAAAATGACCATTACCTTGATCTGGGTTTTTGGGTGGGGCTGGTTTCACCGCTGGTTTCACCGTTGGTTTTGCAGGAGCTTAAGATCATAATATTGTTAATTGTTTGAAAATACAATATGAGTGACATAACGGAATAGTTAAGACATAAACAAGGATGGAAGTATGGTATTCCACATTTGATAAAAAAAATGACTTTATCCACCTTATTTTTTTACGTAAGAGTGCGTGCGGCCATTTGTAAATTGAATGTGCCTGGCTTCCGGTGTCATCCACGTTCAGTTATTTTTAGCTGTACAAAAAAGCTTGTAATGCTGCTTGATATTGCAAACTGGTATTTCTTACCCTATTATTTGAATGTATTGTCATAATTATAATTATAGACACACTGGTTCATAGCGCAAATAGTTTTACCAATTGCCGCACTTTATTCTTCTCGTTATTTCCTTATAGTGGCTAATGAATTAGAAGTCTCGCACATTCACAGAAAATAGCTTGCTTCCACGTTGAAAAATAAGGTGGACACGGGGCTTGATAATAAGGACTGCAGGATGGCCCGGGCCAGCGTGCCGTGAAAGACGCTCGGTGATGGAATTGTCACATGGCCGATCGGGCCAGTGCTGCGTAGTCACGAAAGGTTATCATTTGCACGTGTTTTCAAGTTCTGTCAATTTAAACATTCACGTGATGTTTAACCATGCAGATTCAAGCCCAAGAAGATGCGAAAGAGAACTCCATTCAGTACTCACGATCTGTTTTCTGTGCGCCCAGTAGCGGTATTAACATTAAGTGTCATGGCATCTTACTCACAGAAGCCATTTGCTCACAGAAGATGGTGACCACTGTGCCACTGAAACTTGTGACGTCTTGCCGATGGATTGCGTCATGTGCCACTGATATTGTTGCAGAACATGTCACCGTATGTTGTGGCACCTCCTGTAGTGACTGACAGATGAGTTGAGCAGCTATACTGACGTAATTGTGACAAAATCCTAAATATTTACTGATTTTTTTTAAAATATATCAATTAAATATATTTACAAATCTGTAATTTTTTCAAACATATAGTCAGTTTGTTATATAATACCAGTACTACTTGTGCGTATGTTGTAGATCACGCAAACTTGCCATTCTAGGAAACACACAGAATAAATTGACCACGGGTCACTACGAATACTGCATTAACAGTCGCATCTGTTACTTTAAACCTTTATTTTTGCATGATGCTGCGTGCATGCTAGTGTCAGTATAAGAAAGTGTAGAATAGGGCAGATAAACCAAAACTTATGAGAGTTGAGGAAGATCCACGGGTGGTCTATTTTTTTATTTTTTTTGTGAGTTAGACAGTAGTAGCAAACACAAAAACAAGAAATATTCGGTCACACTTTAGATTAGGGTCCAATTCTCACTATTAACTACGACTTTTGCCTCAAACTCCTAATTACTGCTAATTAATAATTATCAAGGTAGTTGTTAAGTTAGAAATTGGGTAGGATTAGTGATGTAGAATATAGTCATTCAGAATAAGGCATTAATATGTGCTTTATAAGTACTAATAAACAGTCAGTAGTATCCTATATGCATGCTAATAAGCAACAGGTTAATAGTGAGAATTGGACCTTAAACTAAAGTGTTTCCTGATATTCATTTAAATAAATAAAGATAGGGCTATAATTTAATATGTGGTTAGTGGCTTTAATATTTTACAATTATTTTTATGGAATTATGTAATACATTTTTGGGTGAACTATCCCTTTATTGTTAATACAGCGCTCTGCGTGCATAGAAAACAGATCGTGAGTACTGAATTGATTTCTCTTTTTAGAATACAATGATACATAGGTCAAAACAACAACAAAACTTTTTTATTTATTCATTTATTTATTTTTGGTGGGGCCAGTGACCATTTTGGCAGGATAAGTAAAAATTTGAACCACAATTTGAAAAAAAAACCAAAAAAACTTTATATTATATTATAATATTTACATATTATAATATATTTACTTTATATTATAAATATTTAACAAACAAAAATAGGCATGCATAAAATGGGCCATATACAGTATAGAGTACCATATAGAGTACTCTTTACTTACGGTCATCATCAAAAGCATCAGACAGGTCCAAATCTGCAAGAAAACAGTTGTTATTTTAATATTTTGTTTAAACAGTTTAATCCCATTCAAAACTCAAGTTTAAAATAGAATATTTTAACTGAAACTAAGAAAAAAAAACTGGCCTAATGCTGCAAATAGACTTGTCAATAGAGGATGCATCCAGCCAATTCAACAGAACTCATTTGATTCACTGAGCCAATGTATATTATATCTCAGCATTAGACAGTTACTCCAAACACAGCAAAATGTTCATTAAAATAACAGCCCATAAATGCCTAATGAAATTTCAGAAAGAGTTCATTAGCATTTCAAATTGATAAATTTGATCAAATAGAAACCAATTAGTCAGATTGGAGTTGACTTGTGCAATTTACTTGTGGCTCCACATCTCGGTGCAAAACCCAAATGCACATCGAACTCAAGTCAAGCAACTCAAATGAGTTAAAGTAATCGTTTTCACACAAGCATTTGGCTATTAGCACTGCAGGAAGTAATTTTAAAGTGTTCCAAGTTAGTAACAAGACACAGCCGTCGTATTGTAGAAAGCATCTAATGCCTTTCCTCCTGCAAAATAACTCTTGTATGACCCCCAAATAGGAAAACTCAAAAAACTAAAACCATGTGTGTGAGAAAGAAATAAGCAACTCAAAATAAACCAGTCTCGTTCCTAGAGGGTAAAAGTGCTGACTGAGAAAAATGATTGGAATTTGACAGTTCCATTTTACATAATAACCCCACCCAAATATACACTGTTTTGTATACTATATTTGTGTGTTGTACTGGATTCACATTGTGACCAAAAACCCTCCCATTTCTTAGCATACACAGCAAAACTAAACATAATTTTTGTATAAATAAATGAAAAAGGATGTACACTGCACGACACGCGATGGCATGTGTTTGCCACACGCAGCACCCTATCAGAGACTGCATCCTGTGGCTTATGTTGCTATGGCGATGCATTGTTTTCATTATGATCTACGCACAATCCATGATGACTGGTGGTTGAGTCAGAACTGAAACCAGAGATCCTTTCATCTGGGTAATGTTTATGCAGTCGACTTACATTGCATAAAAAAATACATTTAAAGTTCAGGAAAAGTTAAGATTCAGGCAAACTTTAGTAATGCAGGTATTATATATACACGACATTCATTTAAATTTGGGCATGTCTGATTTTTCCTTATCATGATCCTCTGGGGGTTATGTAAATTTGTCCTGTCATGTTGATCTCGGAGCATTTCTCATCACCAAAACCCTAAATGACTATTTAACTGATCTTAGATCATGCCAAAACAAAACTGTCAATGCATCATTCAAAACAAAGGGGAGTGCCTGTGGATTAATAGACTCAATGCTTCCACCAAAAGGAAGTATGGGTCAGCATCATGGGATCAAGTATTTTTAGAACGCAGTGATCAAGGCAACTTAACTGCTGAAAAAGAAGTTTGCTGTGGTGACCTTCAAAGTCTAAGATGTTATCTACTCGCGTGCAGCTATGGGAGAGATACCAAAAAAAATAGAAGAGTTGTTATTTTGTGGTTATTTTTATGTTTTATCATTAACCACGTTGTGCATAAATGTATTGCCATTCATAAGCTTGCACAAAAAAAAAAAAAAAACATTAATGGAATGGCATTACATGGCAGATCATGGCACCTATCCCAGACAGCAACATAGTGTCGGCCCAGATCCGGGCCACATGGATATCACACATACCAGATGTGGGCTGACACTATGTTGCTGTCTGGGATGCATCTTCCAGTAACAAGCACTGTTAATGTAGGATTTGCTGTATTTAAAGTTCGAACAAAAGACTTAAATGACAAGACAGTGTATGGTATATAAAGTTTGTTTCATTATTAAAAATGAAACATTTTGCTCTGTGAGGCAAAGAGGAGCTATTACAGCCAAACTATTTTAGCATGTAAACTCTGCTTTTCAATGCGTTGCAGCTAAATTACTGACATAAAACATATGAAGTTGGGAATAAATATTCTAAAATTGAAATTGGGAAGAACAATAATCTCAGCTTCTGTAGCTCTGCTTTAATTTTTGGACATACTTTTAAAAATATGAAGTTATGTTACCAAAACAATCTTTGTATCTTGGTTCTCCAGCCATTTTCCCCATAGGCTGGTGAGTCATGCATGTATGTGGAAAGAAATGTACCCATGTTCTTTGGCACTTCAAAAACATTCCACCCACTTTTTCCGTATAAGGCATTTAGGAGTAAATAACTGGGCTAGTAGACTACCAGAAAACTATTTTTAACTCCTCGCTTCAAATATAATTTAAGAGCGATTACGACGAGTGACGACGTAGTTTATATGCAGCAGGGCGTTTAAGAAGAGGCAAAAAGCGACGACTCTTTTCCGGTTGTTATTTTATGGATTATATATAGACCTACGTCCCCAGTTCAAGAAATGTAACGAGCGCTGTTACCAAAACAAAATGATAACAGTTTAGATAGACCATACCTTGTGCTCTCGTTGCCGCAAGACTTGCCAGAATAAGTAAAATCCACGTGTATGAAGTCATCTTGCTTTGAAAAGATGTAAGATTTAAAAGAAACCTAATACAATGTTTTTTTCTTTTCTAGAACATATGACCGCTTTACAAGACTTCAAACGTACTAGAAGTTCTGGAAAGGAAAGTTGAGCGGTAACTTATGTTTCCCACCCCTTTGAGTGATGGAAGCGCGGACCAATTGCTATTCAAAACTTTAGCTCTCTACTGTAGTCTAATTAGAGTGATGATTCAGAACACAGTGCAGGACGAAGACGCGCCTCGACACGCCCTATCTGCGCTGTTTGAGAACGCGAGAGAGCTTGATTTAGTCTGAAGTGGATCGTATTACGGCCGGAAGAAGGACAGTTTTTATTATAGAAGCCTATGGTATATTTAATTTTTATTTAGCATATGCCTTGTAGCATTTATGAGCCTATATATTTTTTTAAATAAGCAAGCCACATTGCAAATTAACAAACAATTTATTTTGTTATACGGAGGTGAAAAATACGGTGGGAGTAGGCTATGATGCAGCATCTTTAGTGTAAAATTATCTGCGGAATGAGAATCTTTGTGACACATTTATGATTTCTGCCACAAAATTGAACAACGTGTTTAGGCTACCACCACCTCATTTTTAGAAATAATTAATCTCCTCCTTTTTTATTTTGCCTATCCATTCATCCATTCATTCATTCGTTGGTTTTATTGTTTTGCTCAAAAATCATTGGACATGCACGTGTTTGAGTGTGTTTAAATTTTTTTATTCATTTTTAGGTCTCTAGCATCCAGAAAATAGATGTATTACGCCATCTAGTGTTAAACAAAAGGTGTTGCAACAAGAGAAGCGCGGGCAGCTCTACAGCATGAATTTAAGTATATCCTACAATGACAAATATTTCACCCCCTGAAAAATCACCTTTATCAGATACCTCACTAGCTAGCGCAGTTGGGATTAATGTTAAAATAAAACACAGCCCATATGTGATAGCCTATTGTCTTCTTTGTCGACGGCTTGGTGGCAATATACAATTCAAGGACACGTGCCTCATTTGTAGGACAAAAACCTTAATATATAGAGCATATTTTTCATAACCTATTTGCTTTTTAAAACACTTTTTGGAACGCAACTGACTAAAATACGTATTTAATAAAGGATTGTTTTTTTGTTTTTTTTGTTATATAGCCTTTGAATTATGATTTTATTTGGATTTTTTAACACATCCTATCTCTTGAGCGAGCAGAACTGGATGGTTGAGGGGTATCCTGAAGGGACCTCGGAGTAGCCTATTGTGCCCCCTTGCGCAAATGGTGTGGGAGATCACCAATGGATGAGGCAGCGCTCTTTCGCGTGTCATGTTTTTGAAGAGCCACGCGTTTCACTCTAGGTTCCCCACTCGGCACGCACCAATGCAGATACGGACGGGATCGGACGCTGCTGGCGCCTGAACGTGTATCATCTTCATTGCGCTCACGGTGCTTTTCTCCAGCTCGCCGGTATCATGCAGTCTTTAATATCCCCAGTCACCAAAGCAATACTGGTTGCACTGTTTATTTTTGCGATCCTTCTCATTTTGTACGTGATATTATGGTATATATGTCGAGATGTGGATTGTGATCACGGAATTTGATTGGCATTATTGGATGCGTCTTTAAGGACATGCACCGGGTGTCCCAGCATTGGCACTGTTCAACAAGGGAGCAAAGGGTGACTCTGGTAAGTGCCTTGTGACTAACCAGTTTAACTTCAGGAATGAGATTTAGAGGTGGACAGCAGTTATGCAGAATAATTTTAATATATAGGCTACTGACTGTCTTTTTCCACTAACGTGTTGCGCTTCGCTGGCTGTCGGTATAACCATCGCAAAGACCCGCTTTCCTTCCACCTGGTAATGTGGACGCACCATGCAGTTGAAATAATTTGACATGTCCAATGTTGCTTTTAAACTAACCTGAAATCGGGGAGTCAAGGAACCCTATATTCCATCCATCGTTTAAATTGAATTCAATTGACTTATCTGCCATTTATGATAAAATAACTTTTCTCAATTAGTAAATAGCCTACGCAAATGAAAGGACTAAATCGCCTTTCATGAATTCTTTCTTTGCACAGACAGAAAGCAGATACTGCTGCACTGTGAGCAGAATTTACCAAGAAAAGTTGGCACAGATATGATACCAAGGGCTCTCGATTGTTTTTAAAGCATGATATCTGTTGCGTGCCATCTGCTTAATGCTAAGAGTTTATGCCTCTTATTTCGACTCTGTCGTATTATGATACACTATAATATCTTATTATATATTAATAAGATATTTTAATCGCACCAGTTAATCGCACTGGAAGTTTATGGAATCCTATGGCAAGCCTGTTTAACGTGCATTCCTTTCACCTATTTTTGTTATCTAGGTATAGTATTTGTCTATAGTAATCCAATAACAACAAGTATTTTATTTCACTCGTATCTATTCAATAGATATTCCAATACTCACTCGTATAGGGCTATCTATTCAAATAGTCATTCCTTTGCTACCAGTTACAGCAACTATTCCATTGACAGTGGCAACAAATTGCTTGCAGTGTTTTTCCATTGAATTGTAGGCTACATTATATTTTATTATCTATCAACTATTCACAGAATAGTGTGTATTTCAATTGTTGCTGCTACCCATTGCAGTTTTACTAGTAACTACAAATTTTTAGGTAGGCTAGTAGCCTAGTCACTAGTAGCCTATCTATTTCAGCTATAGATATGTAGCCTAGCCTACTAGAACCTATTTTTGAGACACTAACAATAATACAGTTTATAGTATGTAGGCCTACCATCTGATGAATAGTTAGAAACATTAAAATAGACTATTTGGGTTTACGAAATAAATGTTAAATCGGCTTGCCATAGAAACCTGTGGTACGCCTGTTGTGTGATGCGAGAGCGTTTGGAATTTGATTCGTGCCTTCAACCGTTCGTTAGGCAGAGATTCAATAAAAACTCAATGCTACTGCTTCAGATGCCTTTATATTTCATCGTTTTAGTCACTAATGTATCTAAAAGCTACGTGCATATTTCTATAATGCTTTAATATTGCATTATCTTTTCCACTGCTCACAGTAGGCTATATAGATTTAAATATATTTCTTCTTTTGCAAACCGGCTACAATTGCACCCCAAGAGCATATAGTGACTCACCGATTAAATACTCCACTCTGAACGTGAGAAGAATCTCAAGTGTCAGCACAGTCACCAGCGCATCATGAGTGCGCCCAACTGCCAATTTGCCCTCGAACCGAGGCCACCTATTGCAAGTGAGCTTGAGAAATAACCACTAGACCCAAATCAATGGCATTGAGGTGATCTGCTATACCGACGGAACTCAAAGAGTCGCTTTCCTCTGAAGGACAAATAGAGGGCAGATTAGTTGCTATTTAACCCAGATTTCGTTGTTTGTTTGTTGAAGAATGAAAATGTCTCAATATGTTCAGAATATAAAATAATTAGACTTGAATAAAAACTCATAATAGCCTAATACTAAAAATGTATTGAATGTATAGGATGTATTTGTGCAAGAGAAATACAATAGAATGGTTTGAGGAAGTCACCGACATTCACAATTCATTACAAAATGACCACACTTAGGCTATTTGTTAAGCCTGGCTGGATAGTGTCCATTGCTGCTAAGTCAAACTATGCCATATCACAAAAATACAAACAAATAAATGTGGCAAGGAGAGAAAAGTATACATATAGCCTAACAATAAATAACACCTTGAATCCTTAAAAAAAAAAAACAGTTTGAAGCTGGTGACATGAAATAGATAAGTCATCATTAATTAAATGCATTAGAAATGTAAGCAAAAAATAAAGCATCCTATTTTGTGTCCCTTGAATATAATTCAAATATGAATGGATTAAAGGGATAGTTCACCCAAAAATTGAAACTCATTCTAATGTTGTTCCAAGCCCTGTGGTTAATCTTCGAAACACAGATAAATAAACAAACAAACAAACAAATAAATAAATAAATAATGAAACCTGAGAGGTTTCTGTTCCTCCATCAAAAGTCTGGTATATAACCAAAACTTAAAAGACCTAAAAAGGTCGTAAAGGTGTCGGAAACCACATGCATGAGTGCTTTAATCCAAGTCTTGAGTTATTTTATGTAGGAGATTTGATTGCTTCACATGATGAACAAATTTCATTTAGGCTTTTATCACTAGCTATAAGCATTCATATTTCATACATAAAGCAAACAAACTCAAATGTGCTATTTTCAGTTTTCATGTTTATCATTTGTAATGTGCTCTATGTATATGTGTGTCGATCATTGTTTAAATAAAAGTAAATCTGTTCATCATATAAAGCGATCGTATCTCAAGACTTGGATTAAACCGCTCGATTAATACGGACTTCTTTTATGCTCTTTTTCGAGCTTCTAAGTTTAGGTTACTTGGACTTTGAATGGAGGGTCAGAAACCTCCCATGTTCATTGACAAATATCTTAATTTGTATTTCGAAGATAAACAAAGGTCTAGCGAGGGTAAATGATGGAAGAACTTTCATTTTTGGCTGAACCATCCCTAAGCTCACTCATGCTCTGAATGCCAGCTTAGCTATATACTCAGCCTGATCTCATGAAAATGCGTCTCTATAGCACGCGTATTTATCGTGCAATTTATACATGAAAATGAGTTTTTACGTGCAGCAGTTTTCGCGTGCATATGATATTAGTAGTAGACACGCACCCCACAACACTAATCCTGCCCAAACGTATACAGTTTTTCTGAATTGCTAAAACACATTTCTTGAAACCATCATTCACTTTCTCAAAACCTTAAACACAAAACCAAATTTTCAAACCACATTCAGAGAACCTCTGACTCTTCTTTCAAAATCAAACAATTGCCTCAAAACCATTTTATATGTGCTCAAAATCAAACAATGCTTTCAGATCATACACGCAGAGAGTCAATATTTTAGACACTACAGATCATTCAGACACTACATTAAAAAATGGAGAACACAGAACCCAAAGCATGCAGTTACAGAAAAAAAGTATATTGTAACAAAGTAAACAGATTTTGCAATTATGTAAAAAAGTATAGTAATGACAACTTACAGTAGAAAGGTGAATAAATTGTATACTGTATGCACTGCAAGTATGGTATTGTACTGAATATTGTATAGTATTGAATGTCTGTATACTTGCATACTGCACTTGCATATACTTGTATACTGTGAAAATACAGTGACCCAACTGCAAAAGCCAAATAGGTTACAGTGAAATACTCTAAATGAAAAGCATGTTACAGTCACTCAGAAGGGGTGTGCAACTGCAGAATCAAGGTCAGTGAGAGAGATTGATTCTGCTTCAGTATCACGTCTTCATGTCGGGTCCGGCCTGAGGACTTTGTCCACATCACAGACAATGTCGTCTCTGCAGGCAAAGGGAAAAAGCCAGATCCAGCCTTGACAACATTCCCCACACCTTGCTCTTTCCCGTCCTCCTCCTCCTTGTACACCACCTCTTACACACATACGTTTCATCCTCTCCCTCTTATATTGTTTCCATCCATTGTTGGTGTCAACAGTCAGTGCAACATTTTGAGTCAATTTTGGGACTCTGAACTGACTTGTATTATGTACAGTTGGTTTGACCACATAATTAGAAATAAGTGTGAACAATTTTGAGTGGTTGTGAACGATGACAACTGTTGTAGTTGTGTTTAACTTTTGCCTGCCTGTGTTTAGCGTTTTGAAACTTAAGTGTATCACAGTGCGAAATGTGTTTTAGTGAGTGAAAATGTGTTTAGAGTTTTGAAAAAAAGAGTGCATGAGATTTGCAAACAGTGTTCTAACTACCTGAACTGATTTATTTGACCAATTGGTTTAGGCTATTGGGAATTTGGTTCAGAGAATGGGGTTTAGTGTTTTAGTATTTCAGAAAAAACTGTAATACATACCCCACATCACTTATAATCCTACCCTAAACCTACCCATGCGTATCATATGCACGTAAAAACTCATTTTCGCGTATACATTTCACGATACACACAATGCGTGCTATAGAGACGCATTTAGTGTGACCGGATTGATATCCTCCATGTGTGCATATGTAACAACTGTAGTTACAAATTACACAACTGTTCTTGGAACAGTGGAACTGAAGAGAGAGAGAGAGAGAGAGAGAGAGAGAGAGAGAGAGAGAGAGAGAGAGAGAGAGAGAGATGGGGGAGGGTTGGAGCTCCCAGGTTAAAAGTGCTATTGTTCTGAATGCATTCTGACATGGAGTCAGTAGATACAAACAAACTCTGAAGGGGAAAATACAACAGCTGTTTTGCTATCCAGCATCCAGAGTAAGTGGAAAAGAAGGAGAGAGAGAGAGAGATTGAGTTTATGCGTGAGTGGATGTTTGTCTGGAGGCTTAGCACTTCTGGAAAGGAACGACTGTGAGTAGGGATTCAGGTCAGTGTTAGGAACATGCTCAGGGGGAAGCAAACTCCCTGGGATAAAGCAATATGTCTGCTGAAAGTGATGAAGACAAGCAGAGAGAGAAACAAGATAGGAGATCCTCAGGTCACACTGACATGTAATTATTAGAAGTTTTCACTTTTGATCAGTGGTATTGATTTAACCAGCGAGGACCAATCTTGAGTGCTGGTGTGGAAAAGCAAGTTGTCATTTTGTCACACCTCAGCCTGTTCTGTGTTATCACCTGACCCAT